TGGAAGCCCTCAAACTCTGGACTATGTGTCATTAGCCCACTATCTGCTTGAGATTCATTCCTCTGTGCAAGTTTGTAGCTGCTATTGGCAAGAGGATTAGTCTGACAACAAGCTACCTATACAGGTACTTAGAGAAGGTATTTAGGTTATAACACCAAACATTAATGTAATAAGACATTATTAATGTGTTTTTGTCTGTAAAATCTCCCATTTTAAAGAGTTTTTTAAAATTAAAGTATTATTGACATACAATATTATATTATTTTCAGGCATATAACATAGTAAGTTGACATTGGTATACACTGTGAGATTTTTACCTTTAAAGTGGCATATACACCCATATTTCTTTGGAATTTCACATGGCCCTGCTAATGAGCCCTCAGGATTTCACATGGATGACCCTCAGGAGTCAGAAAGTAACCTAGGATATCTCTCTATCTAAGAGTCTTACAGTACCTATTCTCTATTAAATGCCTTTCACAGCTCCAGAATTCTACAGTCAGTAGAAAGCAATAACTGCATCCTCCAATCCACTTCTTTATTTTAGACTGGACACATCCCTGTAGCTACTGTCTTGTTACTTTTCAGGACTGGTAGGCAGAGATATGAGTGGACAGCACACTTAATATGGAATCCCTGGGATGGTACTGATTTACAGTCACACAACCAGATCCATGAGACCCACAGTGACATAAATATGTACACAGGAGCAAAGATACATAAAGATACACACACTGATGAGCACTGCAGGTACACACAGACACACTGAGTGACATACAGAGTAACATATACAGCATACACACACTCATAACTGGACCTGTGAAACCCACAGATTTACAAAGGTGTGTATCTACCCAGACACAAACTAGAATTGTGAGAGAACAGCCACACACATACAGGTTTACAGATTCACCTGTACAAGACATACACACACTGTTACACAGAACACAGACACAGATGATTCTCTGAACCATCCACAAATAGTTACAGGCAAAAACACACAGAGGGGCACAGGAGCAAATACACACATAGTCATTCACTCAGACCTGTGAGACATACACACATACACGAGCACATATCTATACAGACTCAGACCAGACCTGTAAGTCAACAGCTATATGCCATCACATACAGAATCACACCAGACTCACAAGCCCACAAGTGCAAATTACACTTCCATGTACAGAAAGCTTACACACATACACACATCCAGACACATACCAGAACTGTAAGAGAGCAGCAGATACAAGCCCGCAGTCCAGATTGCATGCATACACTCTTTCTCAGAGGCACACCCATATACACACACACACGAGAAATGAGGCAAGAAACACACAGAGTCAAAATGAACATAGGGTGATTGTGCAACAGATACAAAGAAACAAGATCTGTAAGACCCACAGAGACACAAATATATATACACAGGTTCACCTATACACAAGGACTCACACGATAACCAGCCCTATAATACAACAACCACTCACCACCACACTCACAGATTCACAACCAGACTTGTGAGATTCAGATAACACAGTCTCACACCCACCCAGGCTTTTGCCCTGGGGTTGCTATTGAACACTGTCTGCACTGAGCACAGCTCGCTGGTGTCAAATGAAACCCTGTATGTGGCCAAGCCTACCTGTAGTCAAGGTAGGGGTCTGAAAAGTTTCCAGTCTGCCTCACCCCAAACTAGCTCTCAGGAACCTGGTAATAAACTTCTTTCTGGAGTTACTCGGCCTGGGTTCAAAGCCTGGCTCTTCATCCTCCTGGCTGTGTGACCTGCGACAAGTTACCCCACCACGCTGTGCCCAATTTTCCTCATCTCTAAAACGAAGGTAATAATATTTACCAAACCTCACTGAGCTGTTGTGAATGTTCTGCCAGAAAAAGATGTCAAGCTCTTTCCAGGCAAGAAAGGTGCCTGGCATGTTGTTGGTCCTCAATAAATATCGACATCATCACTGTGATAAAGTTACGGGACTGTGCCAGAGCTGTGCCACAGCCCAGATCCTCCTTTCCAAGCTCCTAAGGGTGGGCAGTCCCACCAGGGCTCGGGCTCTCCCTTCTTCGGGGTCCAGGGTGCAGGCCACCACCTCTAGGATCCCTAAGACCAGAGGCCTGAGGATTCGCAAAAATGAATGTGGGTCGGAGCCCACCCGACTCCATCTGGAGGCATGGACGAACTGATAGGATATTTCCACGTTTCTGGGTACCGTCCTCTCACATCCCCAATGAGAGAGAGAGAGACACTCACTCCACTCATTCACTCACGCACCCACCCACCGAGACACAAGAGTGGGGCGGGGCCAGAGAGTTTAGTTGCTGCGCTGGGAACTACATTTCCCAGAAGCCTGTGCTTACAAAGCCGGTTCGCGTCGAGGTGCCAGGCAGCTCCGGGACCCCGACTGCATTCTCTCAATGGAGTCCGCGCCAGCGCGACGCAAAGGCTACCGGAAGTTGTAGTTCGCGTCCGGTCCGCGCAGGCGTACTTTCCCGCGGCGGTCGCTGAGCTGCTCCTTTGTGGTCGTGGGTCCGCTTTTGTGGGAGGCCGGCCCGCTTGCTCGCGCATCTGTCCGAGCGTCGGTCGGTCTGTCAGTCCGCGGAGGGGCCGTGTTCTACGCCCGCTGCCTCCGGACGGCTGAGCTTGAGGCCGGCCCTGGTCCCCCGACGCAGTGCCCCAGGTCGCGGGTGATGGGGCGTGAGCGCAGCCTCGGGTGTGTGGCGCTTGCCGAGCCAGCTTGACCCCGACCTTGAGGGGAACTCAGGAGTCTCCGCGTGCGTGGCCGTGCAACCGGGAGTGCGCGTGCAACCCCACGGGGCTCCCCTGCAGGCTGTCCCTGAGCCCCAGGAGCAGGACCCGCGCCTCTGGGCCTGGCCTGGGGCCCAGGAGGCTGCAGAGCTGCCCACGCCTCCGGGGAACACTGCCGAGGGGCGCCATGGAGACCCCTGCCCCGAAGCCCCAGGAGACAGGTACAGTTGACTCTTCTAGTCACTGGGTCTGTGGCCTTGCGCTTGAGACTGACACCCGGAGATGTCAGCCTAGTTTCCCAGAAGCACCTAGCAGAGTCAGGCCCCCGTGCGCACCCGTTTACTTCCACGTCTCAAGCATGCTGAAGAGGAAGGGAATGGCAGTATTCTTCCTTCTTGATTGGAGTGCCTGAGACACTGGCAGAATTAATCCCTGATGCCTGTCGGATTGTGTTGGATATTAGGGCTCCCTCCCTACCCCATCTATATGGGCTGTTCCTGACTTCTCTCTGATCCTCCCCCATGCCAGGGGTGGAGTGGGCTCTATTTAGTTCAGCCATGCGCCTGGTGGCTATGGGCAGAACAGCCCCTTTGACTCATTTCTCCTCCTCAGCTCTGCCCTCCCAGGAGCCTGCTCTTACCCTCAGAAAGAATCCAGAGGATAAATTGGGTCAGGGTCTCCTGGAAGCCAGGTCCGAGGTGAGTGGTTGTCTTTTTTTCCTTCTGAACATCTCGCTCTTTATAAAGGGGGTTGGCACTTTTCTTCTGCCCAGGATCTTCAAGTCATTCAAGGACCACCTCTCTCCCTCTCCCAATCTGGGGTGCCTGCTCTCCCGTCCTTAGGAAGCTCTGGGCAAGGGAACAGCTCTGGTAGAAGAGTCCAAGTGTGCCCTTGAAATGAGTGTCCCTTCCAGCCTGATTCAGCCCAGTGGGTGGGTCATTTGCCCAGCATTATAGCAGGAGCTCAGAGGAGTGGTTTTAGTGGAACCTAAGCACGTAGATGACAGCTCACCCAGTCACTTCAGTCACCTTCACATGCAGACCTGGGGGATGGCCCTCCTTGGGGAGAATTTTCTGGGATGGAATCAGGTAGGGGGGTGTGGAACAGTTGAAGGAAAGGCTGCATTGCAGCACCAGGGTAAGAGTGTTGGTAAGGGGGAAATGTCTGCATTTCCACTGTACGGACCCTGAAATGGGGTTGTCAAGGAAAAACCTGGAGTTTTAGCAGATTTGGGAGCTCAGCGAGGAATTGGCCCTGGGGCCACTTCTGCAGCTAAGTAGGGCCCAAATCCCTCCTTTCACAGACTCTGGGTTTTGTTTCTCATTTTGTTCTACCACCTAAACCACCCTCATCCTTCACAGTATTTAAAAGGGTACAGTTGATAAAGAGAGTGTTCAGTAGTGAGAAGGGCTGGAGGATGGAGGGTCCTTTGACTTTTTTAGGGTTTTGTGATTCTGTTAACCTCCCACTTGAAAGGGGTCTGATTACAAAAAAATAGAAGTAACTATAAAAACCATATTATGAGATGTGCCTAGCTTCTGTAATGTGTTAGAATGCTCTTTTGTTCTATAAAACACTCAAGATTGAAATGACTGTCAAATGCTGTATGTGATCTTTGATGGGTCAGAGATCCAAAAAATTCAATCAAAGGAAGTTTGGGACAATTGAGGACATTTGAAAATGGATTTATCTTAGATCATATAGTATCAACATTAAATTTCTTGGGTGTGATGATAACACTGTGATTGGGTAAGAGAGTATCCTTAGAATATACAAGGTGAAGCATGTGGGGTAAGATATGATGTTTGCAACTTACCTTCGAATGGTTCAATAGGAAGTGTGCATGCACTTGTGAGTGACTCCCTCAAGGTAGTACCTTTCTTGTTCATAGGTGTTATTCCTAAAGGATCAGCTTGTTAGATCCTTGAGTAACTGGTCCTCCTCTCCTGAGTACTCTTCTCTCCCAGCAGTCCCACTCAGACTCACAGTCAAGTGTTTTGCTCTCCTGGGACATCCCCCCCACCCCCACAGTCTTTTCTGACTTCCTTGCCAGTTTCAGTACCACACATTTGATTCCCACATCTTCCCCCTGGGATTTGTTTCCTATTCTACAGAATGAATGCACACCAGACATGGGCTTCTCCCAGTGGGTTGGGAATACCCCCTGATGGGCCTTCACAAGGCTCAGATCCTATCTTGCCCTTGCCTTTTGACACCCTCACACAGAAGCCTTGTAGCCTCTGATAGCCCCCTTTCTCCAACACCACATTCTGTTGTCTCTGGAGCTTGTTTCTGCCTATGTTTCTCCTTTCTTCTGCTAATGCCATGACCATTATGCTTCATCCCTGCCTGCCTCAGTTATGGGCATGTTCTCAGCATGTGTCCTCACCCCCAGTTTCTCATCTCCATGAAATACAGTGGGTTTTCTGAATCACATTTATTGAGGTATAATTTATATAAAGTTCTCCAATTTTAAGTACAGGATTTGATGAGTTTTGTTAAATGTAACCAGCACCACAATCATAACATAGAACATTTCCATCACCCAGAAAGTTCCTTCATACCCCTTTACAGTCAGTCCTCTCCCCCAATCCTGTGGCAGCCACAGTTTTGCATTTTTTAAGAATTGTGTATGGAAATACATAGTATGTAGTGTTTGGTTTCTTTTTAAAAAGATTTTTTTAATGTTTATTTATTTTTGAGAGAGAAACAGAGACAGAGACAGAGCATGAGTGAGGGAAGAGGGAGAGGGAGACAAAGAATCCGAAGCAGGCTCCAGACTCTGAGTTGTCAGCACAGAGCCCAATACAGGGCTTGAACCCATGAACCGTGAGATCATGACAGCTGAAGTTGGACTCTTAACCAACTGAGCCACCCAAGCGCCCCTAGTTTTGTTTTTTAAAGATTTTATTTTATTTTTTTTTAAGAGGGAGACCCGTGAGTAGGTAGAGGGGAACAGAGAGAAATCTTAAGCAGGCTCCACTCTCAGCACGGAGCCCAACGTGGGTTGCAGTCCCATGACCCTGGGATCATGACCTGAGCCAAAACCAAGAGTTGGACGCTCAACCAACTGAGCCACCCAGGCGTCCCTAAATATTTTATTTTTAAGTAATTTCTATACCCAACATGGGGCTCAAACCCATAACCCTGAGATCAAGAGTTGGGTCTGCCAACTGAGCCAGCCGGGTGCCCCACATAGTTTTTAGTTTCTAATTTCATTTAGCGTAATGCTTTGAGTTCATATCGTTACGTGAATCAATAGTTTGTTCCTTTTTATTGCTAAGTAATATACCATTTGTATTAGTTTACAAGGGCTGCCATAGCAAAGTGCTACAGATGGCTTAAACAACAAATTTATTGTCTCAGTTCTGGATGTTCAAGATCCAGATTTCAGCAGGATTGGTTTCTTCTGAAGCTGCTCTTCTTGGTTTGTAAAGGTACCTTCTCCCAGTGACTTCCCATGGTCTTTCTCTGTACATGTCTGGGTCCAAAGTTCATTTTATTATCAGGACACCAGTCCTATTGGATGATGGCTCACTATAATGACCTCATTTTGCCTTTATTATCTCTTTAAGGACCCTCTCTCCAAGCATGGTCATTTTTCTGAGGTACTAGGGGCTGGGACTTCAACATGTGAATTTGGAGGGGTCACAACTCAGCCCAAAAGACTGTATGGATATTTACAATTTGTTCATCCATCTGCTAGCTGAGAGATATTAGGTTGTTTCCAAGTTTTGGCTATTACAAGTAAACCTGCTATCAATATTTGAGTACAAATATAGATATTTGTACTCTGTTTTAAATTCTCTAGAATAAATTGTTTTAAATTCTCTAGAATAAATACCTAAGTGGAATTGCTGAGTCAAATAGTAAATATATGTTTAATTATCAATTTTATCGATCATTTCCAAGAGCCATCTTTTGATTTGATTTTCTCTATTGAATTTCTGTTTCCTATTTCATTGATTTTAGATCCATATTATTTCCTTCCTTTACTTATTTTGGTTTCTTTTTTTAAAATTTTAAAAAAATATTTATTTATTTTTGAGAGAGAGAAACAGAGACAGAGAGTGAATGGGGGAGGGGCAGAGCGAGAGGGAGACACAGAATCTGAAGCAGGCTCCAGGCTCTGAGCTGTCTGTACAGAGCCCAATGTGGGGCTCGAACTCACGAACCATGAGATCATGACCTGAGCCAAAGTCAGTTGCTTAACCGACTGAGCCACCCAGGTGCCCCTACTTATTTTGGTTTCTTAAAGTTGAAACTCAGATATTGATTTGGCACCTTCCTTCTTTTCTCATACACCCTCCGATGCTATAAATTTCCCTCTTAGCACTACCTTAGCTACATCCCACAAACTTTATGTTGTATTTTCATTTGTATTCAGTTCAAAATAGTTCCAGTTTCCATTGTGATTTCTTCTTCAACCATGTGGTATTTAGGAATGTGTTGTTTAATTTCCCAATATTTAGAGGATTTTCCAGATATCTTTCTATTATTGATTTCTAGTTTAATTCTGTTGTAGTTAGAGAAGGAACTTTTGTATGATTTGAATTTTTTCAAATTTACTAAGATTTATTTTATTGCTCAGAATGTGGTTTACCATGATAAATGTTCTATATGCACTTGAAAAGAATGTGTCTTCTGCTTTTGTCAGCTAGAGTGTTATGTGAATGTTAATTAAGTTGAATGATGTGTTAATCAATTGTTTTATGTCCTTACATATTTTTTGCTTATGTGTTCTATCAATTATTGAGAGAGATTATTGTTGAAATTACCAAGTATAATTGTGGATTTGTCTTTTCAGTTCTATCAGGTTTTTGCTTTATGTATTTTGAAGCTCTTTTGGTAGGTACATCTATAATGTTGTGAGCTTTTAATGAATTGCTGTTGTGATGATGACCATTACATAATCACATAGTGATTATTATGTAACATCTCTCTTTATCTCTGATGATGTCCTTTGCTCTGAAATCTGCTTTGTCTAATGTTAATGTAACCACTTCAGCTTTCTTTTGATTAGTATTTGCAGGATATATCTCTTCCCATTCTTCTACTTTTAAACTACCTTTGTCTTTGTTTTTCTTTTTTTCTTATTTGATGTTTATTTTTATTTATTGTGTATGTGTGGTGTATTTGTCTTTGTTTTTTTTTTTTTAAATTTTTTTTTCCAACGTTTATTTATTTTTGGGACAGAGAGAGACAGAGCATGAATGGGGAAGGGGCAGAGAGAGAGGGAGACACAGAATCGGAAACAGGCTCCAGGCTCTGAGCCATCAGCCCAGAGCCCGACGCGGGGCTCGAACTCCCGGACCGCGAGATCGTGACCTGGCTGAAGTCGGACGCTTAACCGACTGCGCCACCCAGGCGCCCCTGTCTTTGTTTTTTTAATGTTTATTTATTTGTTTTGAGAGAGAAGGATCATGCACAAGCCAGGAAGGGGCAGAAAGAGAGGGAGAGAGAATCCCAAGCAGGCTCCACACTGTCAGCATAAAGCCCAACACAGGGTATGATCTCACCAACCGAACCGTGAAATCATGACCTGACCTGAAATCAAGAGTCGGACATTTAGCCGACTAAGCCACCCACGTGCCCTTGTCTTCATTTTTAAAGTGGGTTTCTGTGGCTGACATATAGTTGGGTCTTAATTTTTTAATTCGATTTGACAATCTTTAATTTTCAATTGGAGTATTAAGAC